GAGATGGTGGGGTGGATTTTTGGGTCAAACTTAGAGGTGATATCGAGTTCCGAGCACCTAAGAAAACCAAAAAAGCTAGGGTGAACATGGCGTCGAGTGTGCGGGCGGTATTGAGGGGCTGGTAGCTTGTGCGGAGGGTGTGGATACATTTGGTGTGAATGTCTAGCGTTATAGGTTGTCTGGCGTCAGAATAGGTGGGCTGGGATCTTTGGATCCCTTTGATCAGCAAGGAGGTTTGTGGATTATTTATCTCAGGGGAGGGAGCGCCGTACATCAGTTTATGGAAAAACTGGACGCCGCTCAAGTAGCCTTTAATGGACCCGACTTGTAAGCCCTTAACACTATTAAGGTAGGAAATAAATGAGGTGATTGAAAGGAGAGAAAAATCAGGGAATGACATGCTATAAGAGACGTGGAATGTTTTAAAACATCTCCAAGCCGTTACGTAGGATTGGAGGGTCCTGGGAGAAACTGCTTGGAGTATAGTGTCGAGCGATGCGTCGAGGAGGGGTTTTAGCAGGTGGGTTATGGGAATATCAGTTCCGAATAACGAGGTACTGGAGTTGGGAATTGGTCCGCCTCTGGAGCCAGCATCCTGAATTTCTGAGAGAATCTGTGCGCGGATGCTTTGGGACACTGGTGGTGGTTCCATGGCGACGGCATTGGACGGGACGGGCATCGGAGTTGCTGTGAACAGAGAATATTGAGACTTGGGTTGAATGAGAGAGCTAGGAAGGGTATAAGCCGGGGCTGCGAATGTTGGCGGCGGCCTCACGCTTGGATTACCCGCTGTGGCTTGAAAAGGAAAGTTAGTTGGAGGATAGAAAGGAATTGGAAGGTAGAATGAAGCGTGGGCTTGTGGTGCAAGCGGAGGCTGGCTCGCGCTTGTCTCAGCTACTGGAGCTGCAGGCCACTGGATGTGGGCGGGGTTGAAACCTGTTGGGTGAAACTGATGAAAGGGTTGGGCCTGTGATGCTAGCGGCAGTAGCCTCGCGCTAGTGTCTGCGATTGGAGCTGGAGGCCACTGAAAAGGAAAAGGGTTATGAGCAACGTGAGAATCAAACTGGGAGGTTGTGGAGAAGGCGCTGGGCCTTGCTGCGTACGGCTCTGCGACAGCGGGAGTCGTGGTGGAGGGCTGGGCCTTGTCTATAGGTGGGAGTTGGCCTCTTATCATTGATTGCTGAGGGCACTCCACTCGTGTTAGTTAACTGAACGTGCTCCTCCCGAACTTTGTTAATAAAACTTAAAATCCGGTTTACAATGAGTGACTACAGAACCGATATCCAAAAGTGTCTGTCGGATATCGGTTCTGTAGTCACTCATTGCAAACCGGATTTTAAGTTTCTCAATGCAGACTCACTGTTTACAAACAACACAGTGGTGCCCTTTGTTTGGGCTGCCCGAACATGACAACGCAATCAGAGCCGGAAGAGAGGAAAGAGAGCCGGCATCCTCGTCAGACTAAGACGCCTCCAAACTGACCACCACTACCCAGTATCCTACTGGCAAACATCCAGTCCCTGGACAATAAACTTTGCGAACTGAGAGTTCTCTTTTCAGCGTGAGATGAGGGACTGCTGTATTATTTGCCTCATAGAAAACCTAGCTGTCCCAGGAGGTACCAGACTTAACCTACAGGATTCTCTGTGCACCGAGCGGACAGAAAACGGGACCTCTCAGGGAAAAGCCAAGGAGGGGATGTATGCTTCATGATCAACAACTCATGGTGTGACTGGAAGAATGTACATACTATCCAGTCTCATTGCTCCCCTGACCTGGAATATCTCACGCTTTTGTGCCGACCTTTTTGGTTACCGAGGGAATTCACAGCGGTCATTATTACAGCTGTTTACATCCCCCCTCAGGCCGACACAGATGAAGCACTTAGGGAACTGGATGGGCATTTGTGCAAGCAGGAAACTGTACATCCCGAGGCTGCGATTATTGTAATCGGGGACTTCAATAAAGCCGGCCTCAGAAAGATTGCACCAAAATTCTTTCAGCATGTAACATGCAACACACAGGGAGGCCGAGTTTTAGACCATTGTTACTCTCCTTTCCGGCATGCTTACAAATCCCTCCCCCACCCACCTTTAGGAAAATCAGATCACTCTTCTGTTCTGCTCCTGCCTGCTTACAGGCAGAAGCTGAACGGGAAACAACCGCCCTCAGGACAATCCAGCTTTGGTCGGACCAATCAGATTCTATGTTACAGGACTGTTATGATTACGTTGACTGGGACATGTTCCGGGCTGCATCTGTACCCATACAAAAGACACCCAAAGTTACCTGCTTGAATGACTGGCGCCCTGTTGCTTTAACCCCCATCATCAGTAAGTGCTTTGAGAAGCTCATCAGAGATCACATCTGCTCTGTACTACCAGCATCGCTCGACCCACTACAGTTTGCTTGTTGAATGTTGAAAACAGTTGTGTAAAAAAAATGTCAGGATTCTTTGATGAATAGAAAGTTCAAAAGAACAGCCATTATCTGAAATAGAAATCTAGTGTAAAATTATTCACTACCGTTCAAAAGCTTGGGCTCGGTAAGAGTTTATTTTTTTGTTGCATTTGTTAATTTTTTGAAAGATTAATACTTTTATTCAATGAGGATGCCTTATATTGATCAAAAGTAACAGTAAAGAAGACATTTTTTAATGTTAAAAAATCTTTCTATTTCAGATAAATGTTCTTTTGAACTTTCAGTTCATCAAAAAATCCTGCATTTTGTTTTTACACAACTGTTTTCAACATTGATAATCATCAATAATGTTTCTTGAGCAGCAAATCATATTTGAACGATTTCTGAAGGATCATTCAAATCCTTCAGAAATCATGATCAGGCCTACCAGTGATCATTCACTGTAGACTGGAGTAATGATGCTGAAAATTTCTGAAAATAATCACAGGAATAAATTGCATTTTAAAATATATTAAAATAGAAAACATTTATTTTAAATTGTAAAAATAAACAGTTTTTTGCTTTATTTTGGATCAAATAAATGCAGCCTTGGTGAGCAGAAGAGACTTCTTTAAAAACTTAAAAACTTTTGAACGGTTGTATAGGTCTAAAGTTTTTAAGTAAAGTCTTTGTGTAAAGAAAATGTCTCCTCGGGGTCTTTGTCTCTTCAGGTGTTTTGTCTCACAGCATTATTCATGATGTTTCACGCCTTTTCGCATATCACCCATTCTGACAATTAGTGTCTTACAAAAGTTGTAATGACTATATTGTTTTGTATGAAGGAGTGATCAGGATGATTTTCACATTGTTTTGAAGAAAAAACTCTACGCAACAAGATCCAGTTTTGAAAAGCCTTGTGAACAAATGTTTGCTATGTGTTATATGGCCTTATTTCAGTAACTTAAAATTTTAGTTTTTTTAAAAAAACGCATAAACGTTATTTTCTCAAAACTACAAACTTTTATGTACATGTTGCTCACATATTACTGTAGCCCTGTTTGTGCTGAATACAGTGTAATCAGACTTTAGCCATTAATATGTTTTTAACCCTCTGGGGACCAAGGTGTTTTTGGGGTCCTTGAGATGTTTTGACATGCCCTGACATTTGTATGGAATTATTTTTGTGCCGATAATAATGAACGTAACTTTTCAAGAAACTAATGAAAATATAAATTGAATAAAATATCTTTGAAACTGAAAAAGAATGAATCGCAAGCAATTTTTTTGACTTTGTTTTTAATACACTGCATGTTTTGCTTACTATTCCTCATATTTCTTTTACTGATCTAAACTTACAAATGTGCTTCCAGAGTTTTCATTTACGCTTCTGAAGTTTTCGTTTGCTTCTGAAGTTTTCATTTACGCTTCTGAAGTTTTCGTTTACGCTCCCTGAGTTTTCGTTTGCTGTTCCGACACAAATCTCTCGTGGGGGCGGGGCTAGTAGCAGTGTGTTCTCATTGGCTACTGATTTTTTGATTGACAGCTTCTTGACCTGGAAGTGAAGACGTCAGTGTTGCGTTTACTTGTGTGGATGTGAGCGTCTGTAAGCGCAGCTTTCTATTTAATTTTAGTGATATTAAGTTATGTTTGTTTTTGAATTTTATCTGTATTTACCTGCTGCTGCTACTACTTTGTCAACAGAAACTTTTAGGAGCGCAAGAGATCTCTTTAGTCTATTCAGGTGTAATTGTACATCAAAGTAGGCCTACTGTATATGCCTACTTAAAATATTGTGTCCAATGTTTTAGGAGAATATTTGTTTATTCCTGATGATTCTTTTGCATGTTAGGCTCTGATTAGGTTGTGCTATTACAATTTAAAGAGAATAGCCTACTAGTATACGTGTGTGATATATTCAGCCGTCAAGAAAGTTTCACTTCAACCAGGTAATCAAGGTTGGCAACCATGGCCATCAAATTTTCTCATTGTTACCATATGCATTTACACCATCAAAATGTATGATCACTTAAATAAGAGGAATTTAAACTATGAAAATTACAATCGTGGCTTGCTGTCAGATGATACAGACCTCAAAGGGCATTTCATTACATATTTCACACAAAGAATATTTTTGTTCCCATTTTTTTAATCATGCTGATCATTTTATTTATTTCATTTAGTTAATATTATCTTCTAACATTTAAAATTGTAAATATATTTGAACAATCATCAACAGGTTCAATTATGACTTATAAAATCAGTTAAATGAATTTAAATAAAAAATCAAATAAATTTACATTGATTCATTGATTTCATTGATTCATCCACTGAGGTCGCATGGACATCACGGTCACTGTGTGTGGTTTTTAAAGCATCTTTAGGACTCGCAGAGATGGATTACTTTCCTTAAAATCTTAATTCGTATTTATCTGTAGAAAGAAAGTAAAATGCATCTGGGACAGCATGAGGGTGAGTAAAATATGTGAGAATATGTGAGTTTTATTTTTGGGTGAACTATCCCATTCATATGCAGTTGGTATGCTAATCCATGATCAGCATAGACTAATAAGGATAAACTGCAACCTCTTGTGTACTTGTAAACTGTGTTTGTTTTAATCTAGAGCTCCAAAGAAATTAAAATATTTGCTATTTTATAATATTAAAATAAAATACATCAGGTGTCTGAAGATCAGGATCCCAGTCATTCAAAGGTGATATGTCTGAACAAAGTAACATTATTGTCTGATGGAGACAGTTGATCTCTGGTATTATCACTCCATCCTCTGTGTCAGCATCAGAATTTTGTTTATGGAAAAGTTGCTCAACTCCCTGGAAAATGAGAAAGGAAATGTATTATAATCTAACAATACAAACTGCTTTGAACTCCCACATGCAGTAACAAGTTGCAGACTTAAAATAATTATTTCAAACAAATTATATAAATGTTTTAAGGGATTTTACAGTACTAAATATTTACCTCCGAGTCATGCACCATTTATCATCTGTAATACTGTTGTGTAACCAGTAGATGGCTGTATAGCCCTATAAACATTTATCCATGGCTGTGTATTCCCTAGTTGCTGGATGTTTTCAGTCATAATTACTTGCATGTATTAGGTTTTGCATTTGGACATATATTTATTATTAAAGACTATTAAAAATTCAACATTTTTCTCCGAAATGTTTTTTTTTTTTTGCATTATTATTGCTCAAATATGGACACAGAAAAAGCATTTTGTTGCATTTTGCAGAATAAATATTGCGCCCAGGGTGATACTTCAAAATAATTGAGTGTTTACATATTATGAATAGAGACGTGGAATGTGGTCAAGTCCTGTCTCTCCTCTTTTAAAAACTCTGCATCGCAAATTAATCAGCAATTGGCTTTACATTGCCAAAGTTGAATCGGGCAGTGATTGACAGCGCTCTGGTCCAATGGCATCGGTCATTGTCTGATACAGTACTTTTTGTACTGTAGGCTACAGTACAGATACTGTACAGTACTCTAGCCCAATGTTGTTTGGGGTGGCAGGGGGGAAATATGATCTAATCGAAGACTGTAATGTAACCGTATGTAACGTTAGATAAACAAGTCATGTAATGATTGGGCTAACTTACCAATTAAATCAAGACGACACTGCTGGATAATGTTATGGGCTCTCACTGAGCTCTAATATGCCTCTCCGCCTGAAAAAGCAAGTACTGTATTATAAATAGTATTAGTTTAGTATTAATTAATAAAAATATATATAAAAAAATCTGACTTACCACGAGTAGGCTATCCAGTATTCTGATATCGACGATGACAAATTATATCATTTGTCTGTACTATTCCTTCTATAAGAAATCATCTCAACAATATAGTGTAGCAGTAAATAAATACAGATATAAACTTAATATCACCTAAATTAAATAGAAAGCTGTGCTTACAGACGCTCACACCCACACCATAGACTGTAAAAAATAGATCCACACATGTAAACACAACACTGACGTCTTCACTTCCAGGTCAAGAAAGCTGTCAATCAAAAACTCAGTAACCAATGAGAACACACTGCTACTAGCCCTGCCCCCACGAGAGATTTGTGTCGAAACAGCGAACGAAAACTTTAGAAGCGTAAATGAAAACTTCAGAAGCAAACGAAAACTTCAGAAGCGTAAATGAAAACTCTTGAAGCGCATTTGTAAGTTTAGATCAGTAAAAGAAATATGAGGAATAGTTAGCAAAACATGCAGTGTATTAAAAACAAAGTAAAAAAAAATTGCCTGCGATTCATTCTTTTTCAGTTTCAAAGATATTTTATTCAGTTTCAATTTATATTTTCATTGATTTCTTGAAAAGTTACGTTCATTTTTATCGGCACAAAAATAATTCCATAACATTTGTGCTTTTTTCAGTTGCTTATAAACATATTAATGGCACAGGTGAAATTACACTCTATTTAGCACAAACAGGGCTACCATAATATGTGAGCAACATGTATGTACATGTTTGTATTTTTGAAAGAATATTGTTTATGCATGGTTATTGAAAAAACTAAAAATTAAAGTTTCTGATATAAAGCCACAAAACACATACTAAATATGTGTCCACAAGACTTTTGACTAATGGAAGTTGTGGCCTAGAGTTTTTGCTTCAAAATGATCTGAAAATCATCCTTTCTCATCATTCACACAACGGCCCAACCCCATTGTGAATAATTAGGTGGTTGAGAAGACAAAGACCCCGCATATTAATGAGCCTTTCATTCAGGTGCGTCACACAAGAAAGAATGCAAGGACAATACACACACACTCACATACATACATACATATATATATATACAGTATATATATATATATATATATATATATATATATATATATATATATATATATATTAAAATCAAAATTTAAATGAAAGTCAAAAGCACATTTTTAGTCATACCTGGAAACAAATCCTGTTCAAATAGGTTATATGGGCCATTCTACAGAATTGGTTCAAAGTTAGAGTTGGAAACATCTTGAAAAAAAATTGTCTTTTTCCATAAATGTCTTAGTAGGCCAATACATTTTATCATACATATTTCAAAGTTAAGGATTCATTATTTTTATATAGCTTGCATTGGAACAAACACTATTCTTAGTTGATTAGTTTATTGACAAAACATACTATATATTTAACATATGAGCAGAAACTGCTAACAAAAGCTTATTTGATGTCTATTTTAGAGTTAAAACTTTATAATCTATCCAACACTAGTCACACACACACACACACACAGAAACATGATTCAAATTTAAACAGTAGGCTATTTTTGCGTTTACAGACACTAACGTTATTATATATCGCGATTAGAACAAAGCACTTACAGCTCAGCTCGCTCCTCGAAGTGAAAATAAACCAGCACTTGTTCTGAGGTAGGTAAATGTCCCAGGATTATTCCTCACAGCCGCGCAAGACGACAGTACATTAATCTAACTAAATATAGTGTGTTTAGAGGGGGCGCCACTGAGCGATGACAGAGTAAGACGCGTCTTTAAGAGCTCCGTCAGCCAAATCTTTATGATTTGGTCTTTAAAATTACTTTCAAGGGCCAACAACTACGTAAATCCTATGCTTACGGAACGTGTTTACGTTTAAAACAATAAGACTTCAAGCTCGACTGGATATCTCAACATGAGTAAACAAAAATCCAAGAAACCGAAACCGACTCAACTAGGCCTCAACCAACCACCGGCCTTACCTGGCACACAGACCGAAGACTCCAGCGGTGACGAGGAGGATCCATCTAACCGAGCCCTACTAGCTGCCAATACAGCACTCAGAGGTGAAATGTCCAAGATAAAAGATGACATCTGTGAGAAATTGGACAGACGCATCGAGCGTGTGTATAACGACCTGAGAGAGGAGATTCTTACGACTAATAACATCACCCAGGTGTCTATTGCTAATCTTGAAGCGAAATCTCAGATGCAACAGACCAAACTCACTGACATAGAAGAGGCCACCACAACACACTCTGATAGCATTAACCAACTTGAGCAACAGGTGCGAATCTCAATGCCGAAGTTGTCAGTCTTAAACAAAAGAATGAAGATTTAGAAGGAAGATCTCGTAGAAACAACATCAGAACTACGGGTGTACGGGAGGGCGCGGAAACGATAAAACCGAGGGACTTTATTGCCAACTTGCTGAAAGAGGTACTCTCACTGGACGAGGCTCCGCTCATTGACAGAGCCCACAGAACCCTTCGCCAACGTTCGAACCCCTCTGACCCACCGCGTCCTTTCGTGATAAGCCTTCATTACTATCACGTCCTGGAAGACATCCTCCGCAAAGCTGCCGCTATGAGAAATCTCCAGTATCAAGGTAAAGCCATAAGCATCTTCCCCGACTACCCTCCATCAGTGGCAAAGCGAAGAGCGCAATTCAACAGAGCCAGGCAATTACTGCGCAACCAACCCGGCATCAAATACGGCTTGCTTTATCCAGCGAGATTCCTAGTGACTCATAACGGCTCCCAGTCATCCTTTACAGACCCGCAGAAGGCCGAGGAGTATGCTGAGCGTCTCACGGCAACACCACCGGGATCAACTGGAAGAAGTTAAAAGACTGATAATACATCATATATCCTTCTTCTTCTTCTTCTTCTTTGATCCCAAGCTGGCACTTGGTCTGGATTGGCTCCTAAGCCCGTACGCTGCTGTGGGTGCCAATGGTTGTCGAATCTCATTCACGAGGCGTTTCCATGCGGGACGATCCAAGGCGGTCGTTTTGGCGTCGTCAATATTTAATCTGCGATTTCTGATGTCCTCCTCAACCTGTTTGAGCCACGTTTTCTTTGGTGCCGTTCGCTGGATTCTCCACTGGGAGGGTCGGTTACGCCAGAGGAGTTGGTGTGGTAGTCGGCTCCCGCTCATTCTGCAAACATGGCCAAACCATCGCAGTCGTCGTCTTTGGATTTGTTCCTCGATCAGTGGTTGTTGGCATCTGCGCCGGATGTCCTCATTTTGAAGGCGATCTCGAAGTGATACTCGCAAGATCTGGCGCAGGCATCGCATTTGGAAAGCTTCGAGTTTGTTGAGGTCCGCCTTCAGCACCGTCCACGTTTCGGATCCGTAGAGTAGAATCGGCAGGATTAGCGTCCGGAATAGGCGAATTTTGGTTGGGATGGAAATATTGGTTCGCTTCCACAGCGAGGCGAATGCTGCGGTTGCTTGGCCAATTCGACTGTGGGTCTCCGCCGTAGACGCAACTTTCTTCTCAATCAGTAAGCCCAGGTATTTGAACTTCTGAACTTGCTCAATCTGGATGCCGTCAAGGTGGACGTTGGCCGGCGATCCATCTGTTGTCAGTACCTTCGTTTTGTCAATGTTAATTTTCAAACCATATGATTGGGCAACGCGGGCGGTCTCGTAGAGAATGTCCGTGGCTTCGGCATCGTCCTCGGCCAGCACGCCACTGTCGTCGGCGAACATAAGATCCATTACTGATGAGCCATTTTCGTCGAACTGCACTCCTCGCCTACCCTCGAAGACTTTCCTCCTGATTGCATCGACAACGATGTTGAAGAGCAGTGGTGAGGCGACGTCTCCCTGGCGGACTCCAGTGCGGATGGTGAATTCCGCAGATAGCTCGTTTCGGATGCATATTTGGCTTGATGATCCATTGTAGTTTTCCTGCAGGAGCTTGATGACTTTCGGTGAGATGTGCTCGCTCTCCAGCGTCGTCCAAAGTGCTGGCCAGACGATGCAGTCGAAGGCGGATCGAAAGTCGATGAAGACGATGACCGTCCGCTTTCCACATCGAATTCGCTCTTCCATCACCTGGCGGAGACTGAATATCTGGTCACAGCACCCCCGTTGCGGTCTGAAGCCGGATTGCTCCTCTCTACTCGTTTGCTCACGGTGTTTCTGCAGGCATGCTTGGATAATTTTCATGAAGACCTTGACGACGATCGAGAGCAGACTGATGCCGCGGTAGTTTTGGCATTCCCGATTGTCGCCTTTCTTGAAGATCGGGATGATGATGGCCTTCTTCCATGTCGTTGGTATTTTCTCCGTACGCCAGATGTTTTGCAGGAGAAGGTGTACTCGCTGGAGAAGAACGTCGCCACCAGCCTTGATCACTTCTGTGGTGATCGCATCCACACCAGGCGCTTTGCCATTTTTCAAAGTCCGGATGGCCGCCTTTACCTCTGCGAGCGTCGGTTCGGCATCGGACATCTCGGCCTCTGGTGGCTCGAATTGTGGCGGCTCCGCCGGGGGTCCTTGCGGTGGGTCGTGATTGTACAACGTTTCGAAGAACTCCCTCCAACGTTGTAGACGCTCCGTCGATGATCGCACAAAGGTGCCCTCGGCTTTTCGGATGTTGTCGTTCGTTGATTTAGCCTTCCCGCTCAGTCGGCGGAGGGTTCGATAAAGCGTGTGGTACTCGTGCTTCGAGGCCGCCACCTCCAAGTCAGCTGCTACTTGGTTCCAGTAAGCCTCTCGTTCTTCTTTCATTCGGCATCGGACGTCCTTGTTGAGCTGGCGGTATCGCTCGAAGTTGACCAGCTTCACTCGCTTCCGTTCGTCTACCATACTGAGAAACTCATCCGATATCCATGGCTGTGTTCGGCGACGGGCGGGAGGGCACAGTTCCTTTGCGCATTCCATGATGGCATTTGAAAGCTGTTGTTCTTCGACGTTGACGAGG